CTTTTTTCTCCCAACTTACATCCTTGGTTGGAATTACTGTTTTGGAGGTTAGACCTTTTATTATCAGGATTTCAATCTTTCACTATCTTGTGCTGAGGTTTTCCAAACATTTATTCTTTTACTCTTTTTTTCCCTATTAAAATTTTCAATGTTATGAAAAAATCCACTCTCCTCAAATGCAAACACATCCAAAATTCTTGTAAATATTTTGTAGAAACTGACAAGCTTATTCTGAAATTTGTATTGAAATATCAGACCTAGAACAGCTAAAATAGTTTTCAAAGAGAGCACTGTTAGAAGACTAACACTACCTATTTAAAGCTCCAGTATTCGAGGTACTGTGGCATTGGCATGAAGACAAATAGATCAGCTGAATAAAGGACCCAGAAATAGACTTAAATACATCTGAACGACTGACCTTTTTTTTTTTTTACAAAGGTTTAGAAGAAATTTAGTGATGGAATTATAGTTTTTCATTAAATCATGCTAGAACAATTTGGACAGCCATATGCAAAATTTGTTCTGATTTATACCTGATACATACATAAAAATTTACACAAATTGGGCCATAGACAGAAATACAAAAGCGTTAGAAGAAAGTATTTTTTACCTTGGGCTAGGCAGACTTCTTAGCTCTATTAAAATACCACCCATAAATCACAAATTGATAAATTATATCTTATTAAAATTACAAAAGATCTTATTAAAATTACATTTTCTTTTTAGAAGGTATTGTTAGGAGAATGGAAAGACACACCAAAGAATATTAGTAAATCATATCTGACGAAAAAACCCCCATGTGTCTTGAGCCTATAAAGAGCTCTCAAAATTCAGTAATACAAAAATATCTTAATAAGGAAATAAAAATATTTGAATGGCACTTCACCAAAGAGGGTCTATTTATACTTAATGTTATGAGTCAAATCAGAGCAGACTCATAGCTGAGCCTCCAGTAGATTTTCAGGGGTTGTAAATCACATGGGAGGAGACTGCTCATCTTTCTCCTGCAGAGCTGCCAGGGGCTCTGAACCACCAGACAGGCACTACCTCTGGGATAGCAGAGCAACCCCTTAGCCACTAAGCCACCAGAGCTCCCTAAAGTGTATTATACACATGGCAAATTAGCTTTTGAAACGCTGTTTACATCACTCATTCTCAACACATTGCTACTGAGCAGAACCAATTCATACGTGACCCTCCACTGCGTTTCCAGGGCTGTAAATCACACAGAAGGAGATTGTCCATCTTTCCCTTTTGAAGTGGCTGGTGAATTGAACAACCAGACAAATTACCACCTTTGAGTTAGTAGTACAATTCCTTATAGGCTAGGACACCTGAGTGCACACATGCACGCACACAACATAATTCCAGCCATTCTTGAAAAAGAGCCAAAACCCAACTATCTATCTTGGCAAAGATATGAAGCAACCAGAACTCTCATACAAAAAGATCTGTCCATGAACATTTATAGCACCTTAGTTATAACAGCCTCAACATGGAAACAGTACAAATGTCCATCAATGAGTTATTGTTGCTAGGTGCTGTTTAGTCAAGTAGGACTCATAGTAATCCTATGAATAGACAACCTGAACCCTGACCTATCCTGTGCCATCCTCATCATCTCTGACATGCTAGAGCCCATTGCTCATCACTGTGTCAGTGTATCTCATTAAGGGTCTTCCTCTCCTTTGCTGACCCTTCATCTTTCCAAGCATGCAGTCCCTTTTCAAGGGATAGCCTCACATGTCCAAAAGTGTGAGAGATGAATCTTCAACATGCTTGCCTCCAAGGAGTATGCTAGCTTGACTTCGCCCAAGTCATATACGTTTGTTATTTCAGCAATTCATGGTATATTCAATACTCTTTTCTAGCACCATAACTCAAAAGCATTAATTCTTCTGTCATCCTTTTGCTATGAATATTTGTATAATAACACTATTCAGCAATTAAAAGAACTTAATTTTTCATATTTATTAACACAAGGATAAATTTCAAAAGAAGTCAGACAAAAAAAAATCATAAACTGTGACTTTATTTATAAAAATTCTATAAAATCCAAAGTCTTTAGTGGTGACTAAAACATTTGAGTAGAGGAGGTGCGAGGTTTACAATGGGCACAAGATAACTTTTGGGAGTAATGGAATTGTTCATGATCATGATAGTGGTCATTGCTTTATGAGTTGTACACATATATAAAAATTTATCAAACTGTACACTTAAAAAAACGTTTAAGTTGTTGCATTTCAGTTAGAAATGGTCCTAAATGCTTGATTCTTATATTGTAAAATAAGGAACTTGACTAGCTGCTATCTCAGCAGCACTTCAATACTGATTTTCAAATGATACCATTTACTTGCTATGACACTTTGCTGTACATATATTATTTTTACTTAATAAAAATATGTAATAACTGTGTTATAAAATATTAATCCTTTGGACAGTCTGCATTGAATTTTTTATTTTTAAACCCATTTTCTATTTGACTATAAAATTTGTGTCATGTTCTTCACATAACTAAACAGTTCCCTCCATTTGAAAGAAGAACTTTTGAACAATCTTCCAATAGTACTCCACAATGTAAAATACCATCCATAGGTAGTAAAGACACAGATGGTGGTCTGTATAATATGGTGAGTCATTAATAAGTAGTTTCAAGATTTTGGGGGAGATGAAAGTTACCATCATAAGAGAAATCATCTAGACTATGATCTTGTTGTATGCTACCAAGTCTGAATACTCATATCTGACTTTCCAGTAAGTTCTCAGAGGTAGTAAATCACATGGGTGAAGAGTACTCACTCATCTTTCTCCACATGGGTGAAGAGTACTCACTCATCTTTCTCCAGTAGAGCAGCTGGTGGATTTGAACTATGTGCCTTTGGGTTAGTAGCACAACTCCTTACCACTAAGCTATCAGAGCTCCCTGCAAAAGTTAATAAGCCATCCTATACAAGGGAAAAATAAAAAGGCATATATGGTAAGGATGATAGAAGAACTGATCTATGCCTTTGAATTGTGGTGGTGAAGAGTAATGGACTGCCAAAAGAACAAGTCTGTCTTGAAGGAAGTGCAACCAGAGAGCTCCTTAGAAGCAAGGATGGTGAAACTTCACCTCACATACTTTGGACATGATGTTAGGAAGGGCCAATCTTTAAAAAAAGACATCACCTTGGGAAAGATAGTAGGTCAGCAGAAGAGGACACTAAACAAGATGGATTGACAGTGACTACAATTCCTGGCTCAAGCGTATCAGAGAAGGCAAGGTTCTGACCTATTGTTTATAGGGTAGCTATGAGTCATAGTTGATTTGATGGCACCTAACAACTAAATATGGTAAGGCAGGACCAGAAGGAACTATATACAAAATGAAAAGTTTGATTTGCAAATGGAGCAGTAATTTTCCAACTATGAGAAGACTGGATATATACTTATAAATAACATAGTTGTGAATGCTTCTGTGAATCCAATAGAGCAACATGTGATTGAAAAAGAGAAGGATATGATACTAACGATGAGTTGAAGCCAACCATAATGAAAGCTGTTCTTTTATATCATCATATAATTTGCTATAACCTCTCATTTCTACCAAGAATAATGGAACAATGGTAATACTTATCTATGGCAATGACAATACATTTTTATTCTCTAGATAGATTTGATTTTTAAAAGCTATGAATGCTTCATTGGTGAAGGATCATAGACAAAATAGCTCAGTGATGCAAAGAGCTCAATAAAATAAAGGATAAAGGTATCAATTTGTTAAAAAGTACTATTTGTTAAAATTAGAAGATTACTAGAAGACTAGTAGTTTGTTGGGAATGTCACCCTCTACTCATGTGGCTTGATAGGCACATAGACTTTTTATAAACGGTCTAAAACCTAAGTACAAGATTCATCTTATCCCCTTGAGAAGGCTCACTACCACTCTAGCCTCCTGAGTTTATCAGGCCTCCTGGCTGGTCTGAGGTCTTAGGCAGGGAGCAGACTCAGATAAGAGCTGATTTGGTTGTTTTGTTTTTTTTTTTTTAATAAATACATGTTAAGTCACCATTATGTATACTTCTATAAAGATTTTTTGTTGTTTAAATACAAATAACTTATAATATAAAGTCAGAAATACAGAATTCTACTTACTAGAAACTGAGAATACTTCTGAACTTAGACTCTTAAAAGATTAATGCTAAGTTGCTAGAAAATTATTCTAACCTTGAAAAAGAATAGAATTATGTGACATAATTAATAGTTTTCTAAGATTTGGGCTATGCACATATACTTTGTGATAATGGAATATAACATTAGTAATATCTCTAAAAATAACAATAAACAGATAATTGTGCAATTCTCATACTTTTTAATTAATTTACTTGGCTATGAAACATGTAGAAAACAAGAATATAAATATGTCATACAAAAATTCCCTAATTGTCACTAAAATAGAATATAAACTAACAAAACATAAATATATCACACAAAAATCTTTAACTGGCAATAAATACCAACTATAACTAAACATGATGGCAATAAAAAAATATCAATTATAACTAAACGTGATGGCACCAAAGATATATAAACTCATGGATTTCTGCTCATTTTGGGGAAAAGACAGAAGAAAAAGTTCTCTCTGATTCTCTATTTGAAGACTGAGACTTGCTGAGATACTGTTCACCACAGTCGACCCCAGATCCCAGCCACAGGAGACTTCCTTTGAATTGGATGGGCGTTCAAATCTCTCCCCAAGATTACTCATTAAAGGTAAAAGCCAAAAGTATAAAAATTTGAACTCTAATATTTAAACTATCACTGTAACTGTTCATTGTGACTCTCAAACACTAAACGAACATCTTGAGGCCTTGTGTACTATCTCATGACTACTTTGCAATAAACCAAATAAAGTAATGCAGATAAACCTGAGCATTTCTTTATTTATTCTTATGACAAATCTTCCAGGACACTATCCTATCCAACCTTTGCCTATTACAGGAAAGCAGTAGATAACTTACCATCTATCAATGCACTTTTGACAAAAGTTGTGAGCACAAGGCAGGATGAGGTCTGCTCGACTATCCATACAAATACAGCACTCCTCCTCCTCAGTCAGCTCTTTAACCCTGCAAGGTAAAAAATGAGCCAGGACACTTAGAATCTTTATAGTCATTATGTTTGATTCTGTGTTTTCATTTTCTTAAAACTATTGTTACATGTTTATTACTTCTGAAAACCTGCTGGAGGGTCAGCTGTGTGTAAGTTATGACTCAATGCTACCCAACAACAACCCATGTATAAAAACAGATTGTAAGTTAGCATGCATTTCCTCACTCATAAATTCATCTCCATCAAGTCAGAACCAACTCGCATCACAGCTGACCCTACTTTGGTTTCCAAGGCTGTAGATCTCAGGAGAGGAGATTGCCTGTCTTTCTCCTTAGGAGCTGCTGGTGGATTAGAAGTGCCAGGGAGGCATGGCCTGTAGTTAGCAGCACAATTCCCAATGGTCTATGCCATGAAAGTCTCCACATGTCTTTTGCTGTTGTTGTGTACAGTCAGATCTGATCCACAGCTGATCCTCCAGTGGCTTTTCAGAGGCAGTAAATGGCAAGGAGTTGTCTCCCCACCTTTTCCCCATAGATGTGACCTAACCACCTATGCACTGACCTCACAATTCCTTACCACTAAGCCACCAGAGCTCCCGTTATGTTTTCTAGGAGCAGTTTGCATCAGTCAAAGAACTAAAACATAAATCACAATTTTTAAACAAATCGCAGCATATTCTCTGTACTTACAAAATCAACATGTCTCAATTAAAGCAATTTAATGTTGTATTTTAAATTGGCTATTTCATTGTTGGTCTCTTAATAAGGTTTTGCAATACAGGGGGTTTGTCTTAAGTTTTCAATATTTATTAAAGTGATTTTAATTTTCTTTTATCTTTCATAGTTTCAATAGTTTTAAATGTTTTCTCCATTGTGCATGTATTATTTTTGTAATTTAAAGAAGTAAATCTGAATGTTTTGAAGTACAGATTCTACAAGGTGGCTTGTTTGTTTTGGATTTTTTTTTAAGGTTGAGGCTGGTTTTATATTTCTATATAACATACTAAATTAACACATTTAAATTTGCCAATTTGAACATAAACCACTATAAATAAATGTAAAATGTGTATGTATGATAAGTGTTAAAGCAACAAGTGAAGAGATAAGTATATCTGAAACTTGTTAGAAAGAGAAGGTGGAAAAAGGATAGGATTTTGGAAAGGATAGGATTAAGGAGACTGGTGTGGTGCTGCTCCTAGGGAACAGGGAATAAAAGTTTTATTAAGTATAGCAGAAATAATCTCATCCATGGATGTCAAAATGATGTGTGAATTTGTTTGACAGACAAAACTAGAATGAGGGGTCATGAAACCCATTCAAACAGCAACTGGGAAGATTAATAAGAAAGGGCAATCTAGAGGGAGAAAAACTAGTTAGAATCGTATCCCAGGAGGCATAACAAAAGAAAAATTATCACGATGTGGTAACAGATTGTTACTTCAGCAGTGGGGAAAAAGAGAAAGTCACTGAATTGAAATACGAAAACCTAGACTGATGCGGACCTAATAGATCTGATTTTAGATATGATGCATTTAAATTATTGGTGAATTAATATTTACTAATATTATCCACCGATGTTGAGTCAATTTTGACTCACAGTGACCCACAGGCCATAGAAGAACTTTGCCATTGAATTTCCAAGCCTGTTTCCATCATCTTTTTTGGAAGCAGCTTGTCTTATCTTTCTCCCAGGAAGCAGATGGTGAGTTCAGACCTTTAGGTTAATAGTTGAGCTTTTAACCACTGAACGACTAGGATTCCTCAGAATGAATACATTTATTTAGTTCAATATTTAAATAGCTTTTAGGTGCCACATACTGTGCCAGACTTCGAGGATACAAGATCATTACAGTTTCTGTTTTTTGAGGCATTTATAATCTAGACACAGAAGCAGTCAGTGGAACCTGTAAAATGTTCACATGCTTTGTTCGTTCATTTGTTTGCTTGCTCCCTTCTCAGCAGATAGTGACCAGAACAGGAAAGAAGAAAGTCTGGCCACATTTATCTCTGTTAAACTACATGTAGAGTGGAGTATTCAGTTCTAGGCCACATACTTTGAAAGTCATATTGGCAGCCACTTTATGTACAGCTCTGAACCTTGATCTATCTAGAGTCAATCTCATTGTCTCTGACACACTTACTACCATTACCCTAGCTACTGAGTCAATCCATCTCATCCAGGGTCGTTTTTCCTTGTGCTGTCCCTCCACCCTTCCAAGCATGACTTCCCTCTCCAAGGACTGGTCTCTCCTTGCAACATGTCCCTAAGTATGTCAGATAGAGGAGCTTCAAAATCCTTGCCTCCAAGGAAAAATTTGGTTTCACCTTCTCTAGGACAAACCTGTTTGTTCTCCTAGAAGTTATGGTATATTCAATACTGTTCTCCAGCACCACAACTCAAAGACATCAATTCTTCTATCATCCTTAGTTATTGTCCAGCTTTCTGAACAATATAAATATATAAAGCTATACGAAATAGGGCTGCTTATCCTAAAGAACAACAGCTTACTGAGAATGTGACCACTATTTTAAAGTATTTAAAGTGCTGGAAAATCAATTAGACTCATTTACTGGTACCTAAGAGGGCACAGATACTGAAAGCAAAGGGTTTGCATTATGAACAGGAGATCAAAGCCTCGACCTTTCTGTGACACCTTCACAAACTACTATATGCTCCAGCTCATTGTTGCAGTCACTGTGCCAGTTGAGAGTCTCTCTTTTTCACTGATCTTATACTTTTTCCAGGATGATGCTTTTATCTAAGGACTGGCACCTCCTGACAAGATGCCCAAAATATTGAGATGAAGTCTCATCATTCTTGCCTCTAAGGAGTACCCTAAGGTTGCACTTCCCCTAAGATAGAATTTTTTATTCTTTTGACAGTCCAGGACAGTCCATTCGATACTCTTTGCTAACACTATAATTCAAAGGCATGGATTCTTCTTTGGTCTTTTTATTTAATGTCCAACTTTCAGAAGCATAGGAAGCAACTGAAAATACTATGGCTTGGATAAGTTGCACCTTAATCTTTAAACTGGTATCATAGCTTTTTAACATTTTAAAGAGGTTCTTGAAAGCAGGTATTCCCAATACAATGTATTTTGATTTTCTGACTGCTGCTACTATGGATGTTGCTTGTTGATTCAAGTAAAAGGAAATCTTTGACAACTTAAATTTTTTCTTCTTATATGATTTGGCTTGTTGGCTCAGTGATGAGGATTTCTGTTTTTTGTTTTTTTTATGTTGAGATATAATCCACATTGAAGGCTGCAGTCTTTGATCTTCAGTGTTTCAAGTCTTCACTTTCTGCAAACAAGGTTGTGATAGCTCCATAATACAACTTGTCGAGTCTTCTTTCAATTCTGATGCCGCATAATCTTTAGTCCAGCTGCCCAAATGATTTGCTCAGCATAGAGATTGAGTAGGTATGGAGAAAGGATACAACCTTGATGCACACATTTTCTGACTTTGAATCATGCAGTGTTTATTTCCTTGCTCTGCTTGGATAACTGCTTCTTGATCTATGTAGAGGTTTCACAGGAGCACATATAAATGTTCTGGAATTCCCACTCTTCTCAATGTTAGCTATAATTTGTTACGATCCACACAGTCAAATGCCTTCCTTGTAGCCAATAAAACACAAGTAAACTTCTTTCTAGGATTCTCCACTTTCAGCCAAAATCCACCTTACAACAGAAATTATATTCCTCTCTAAGACTCTCCTGAATCCAGCTGAATTTCTGGAAGTTCTCTTTCAATGTTTAGTATGAGTAATTTCCAGAAAAAAAATCTTCAACAGTATTTTACTTGTGTATTATATTGATATTGTTTGATAATTTCCTTATTTTGTTGGATCAATTATTTGGTAATGTAGCTCTTCCAAATTTTTTGCCATAGACTAGTGAGCATGTCCAGGGCTACATCTGTTTGATGAAACATCTCGATTTGTATTCTATCAATTTCTGGGGCCTTATTTTTTGCCAATGTCTTCAGTGCAGCTTGAAGCTCTTCCTTCATTATCATTGGGTTTTGATCATATGCTACTTTCTGAAATGGTTCAGTGTCCATTAACTCCTGTTGCATTTCATCCACATTCTTTTGATGTGTCTTGTATCATTCAAGATTTGCCCATATACTCCTTCAGTGTTTCAAGTTGAGGCTTGAATTTGTACTTCTGTCCTGTCTGCTTGAGAAATGCCAAATGTGTTCTTCCTTTTTGGGTTTCTAAATCCAGCTCTTTGCATGTTCCATTATACTACCTTGCTTTGTCTTCTTCAGCTGACTTTTGAAGTCTTCTATTCATCTCTCTTACTTCACAATTTCTTCCCTTCACTTCGGCTTCCCTATGTTGAAAAGCAAGTTTAAAAATCACTTTTGACATTTACTTTGTATTTTCTTTCCTGCCTTTGAAAAAAGCAGTCTTTTTGGGGTTTCTTCCATATATGGTGTCCTTGATGTCATCTCACAACTTGTTTAATTTTTGGTCATTAGTGTTCAAAGCATCAAATTTATTCTTGAGATGGCTTAAAAAATTAAAGTTAAAGGGGTAAACGAAAATTCATATTTTGACTCTCATGGACTTGCTTTTCTTTAGGTTCAGTGTATCAGTAATTGATGGTTTGTTTCACAGTTGGCCCCTGGCCATATGTCTGCCTGCTGATATTAATAACCTTCTGAACTTTCTTTCTACAGATACAGTTAATCTGATTCTTGTGTAATTCATCAGATGAGGTCCATGTGTATACACACAGTCTGTGTTGTTTTCCTGTACAAAATTCTATCATTCATCTCTAGCCTCAACCTGTTACCAAGGCCTAACTACTGGTTCTTTGTTTCTAACTTTTGCATTCTAGTCATCTTGACTGTATGTTCAATCAATTTCAGACTGCAAAAGTTGATGCTGTCTTTGTTTGGTGCCATCAAGTCAGAACTGACTCATAGCTGACTCTCCAATGGATTTTTAGTGGCTGTAAATTGCACGAGAGGAGTTGCCCATCTTTCTCCCAAGGAGTAGCTGGTGGATTTAAGCCATGTGCCTTAGGTTTGTCAGGGTAACCACTTACCAGTAGCACATCAGAGGTACCAAACTATCTACCAATAAAAAATCCTCAATTTCTTCATCTGCAGCTTAGTGGTTGGGAGAGCAGAGGGATGGTGCAGGAGAGGAAGACACTCGATGAGATGGATCGATTCTGTGAGTGGAGTGGTGGGAATGAGTGTGTTTGAGATGGCGAGGTTGGCACAGGATAGAACGACATTTAGGGCTCTTGTACATAGGGCCGCTGTGAGTCGATGGCACATAACAATAACAACAACAATTCTTATAGAGATATTAGTATGCTAGATATTGTTCCAAGTACTTTAAATCTCTCAAGGACAGTCCTATGATGCAGATAGTATAGCTAATATATCTTTTAAAAAATGAACTGAGGAAAAGGAGTTTAAAGAACTTGTCCAAAGTCACACACAGGGGTAACACTAGCATTTGAACACAGCCAGAACTGGGATCTAGAGTCTGAACTGCGCTGCCTCTAGACAGTCCAGATTTTGGCTTAGTCTAAGGACTATCAAATCAAAAGGAAAACATTATATTCAGTAGAGTAACTTAAATCATAAGGTTTGCCTTTCTGAGGCTGTGAAGCATATATAACTGGAGGTATCCAAGCATATGTTGACTATTATTTGGCAAAATGTGGTTAAGTCCTGGTTCTCACAATGTGATCCATGGAACAGCAGCATTGGTATCACCTGGGAGTGTGACAGAACGTCCTATTTCTCTTCAGAACTTCTGAATATTAAAGTTTGAGCAACATACTAGCAGAGCATCTTAATGTACCAGACAGTAATAATGTAGAGGTTAATAAATAGCCTCAGCTCAATTTTTAGCAAAATTACTTACTTATCTAAACTTCCATTTCTTATATAAAATGAGCTAATAAACATATCCTAAAATACATTGTAGATGATGAGGAACAGCACAGGACAGGACAGAGTTTGGATCTCTTGTTGATAGGGTCACTAGGAGTCTTACTTGACTCACAGCACCTAACAACAGTAGCAAGGTATCACTTAGGCAAAAAACAAACAAACATATAAAGACAAGACATAATCCTAAACTACATTAAGTTTCCAGTCTTAAGGACATAAGAAAGAGTAGCATTCATCTCCTTTATAAAGATAATTACAAGAAGAAAAAATAGTTACCTTATTTTCAGTGGAATGACAAAGCAAAATACTACAATGAAATGTGCAAGGAGCTAGAGTTGGAAAATCAAAAGGGCCGAACTCGTTCAGCATTTCTTAAGCTCAAGGAACTGAAAAGCAAATTCAAATGTCGAGTTGCTACAATCAAGGATGCTTTAGGCAGAATGTTAAATGATCCAGGAGGTATCAAAAGAAGATGGAAGGAATATACTTAGTCATTGTACCGAAAGGAATTGGCAGATACAGAAGAATTTAATGAAATAGCATTTGAGCCAGAGCCTATGGTGATGAAGGCAGAAGTTCAAGCTGCTTTGAA